TTACGAAAAGTGCTTACTAAATATACCGCGCAAACATTTCAACTGATTTCAGACGACACCTACAGATGAAAAGTATGACGATCGCATGATTCCGTGTTCGTAAGAAACATCGATACGATCTGCGAAACCTTTAGTGGCTGACTTTTAAGCACCGTAGACCCGGCAACCTTTCGTGTAAGCATTTTTTCTTATCTTTATGAGTCCAAATTATATTTGCGTGCTTTCGCTTTACAGATCTGATCATTATGGGCCATATATTTGTGACGGTAAGTATTTTATAATGGGTGTACGCGGTAGCATAGTTCGTTAAGGCACCATGCTACAAGCCAGAAGGTGACGGGTTCGAGTCCGAATGAAGTGGCTTTTTCAATTTACCTAATCCTTCCAACCGCACTATGGCCCTGGGGTTGAATCAGCCTCTAACAGAAATGAGTACCATGAATCTTCTTGAGGGTAAAGGCCGGGCGGCGCGTAAGGCTGAAAACCTTACCGCCATCTGTGAGCCGACTGTCTAGAAGATGTGGGAGCCTCAACCTCTCACAACCCTATGGGCCTTCAAGGCCTGTTACAGGGATACCTTTACCTTTATATATAATTATATTTATAAGGCGAGCAGCGAGTAGATACCTAAGATACACTGCGGTCCTTCAGCGATTTGAAGTTGAACATCCTTTCTCTAGAGTTTAAATTTTAACCACACTGGTGTATTGACTAAAACAAAGAACTGATAACTCTTTCATCAAGGACAGACGCTAACAATACGTGCAGGTATAATAAGTGCCCCATTCGACTTTCTGGCACCGAGCCACATTAGGAGAATATATCGTGTGGCAATAAATGTCATTTATCGGTCTCTGTCTTAATCTCACTGTACTGTATTATCGACTGATAAAGTACAAGGGCAATGTATCAACTCTAATGTTAGGTGGCACTGAGTGTTAAAAGACGCGGTGGTGTGGTGATTTCACAGCACCATCCTTATCATTCGTTGCGAACTAACACAGCCACAATCGAGAATTCGGTACCTGTAATTTCGGCTCGGTGTAGTGGCTAGGCTGCGGGCTGAAAGTTCGAATAATCGAGGTTCGATTCCTGGCAGGGGCAGAAAATGTTCCGCATAGCGTCGAGACCGACTCTGGCGTCCATCTAGCCTCCCATCGAATGGTGTGCCGTGGGCGCCTACTCCGGAAGTGAAGCGGCCGGGGGCCGACCATTCGCCTTCACCTACTGCCTAGATTAAGAATGCGTGGAGTTATATGTACATTCCCCCATACATCCTTGTGAGGTGGTCCTTCATTATGGATACGGACAAGTGCACATTACGTACAGAATCCGGTGTGTGTGTGTGTGTGTGGGCCCCCGCAAACGATACCTTACCAGGCTAGGTAACATGACAGTTTGGAAACACTACTGTGTTCATAATCCGTCTAGGTTGCTAGTAAAAATAACAAACAAAACAAACTCCTTGACCTCTAGTTCGCAAGCGAACTATACAGACCGAGCGACCGCCCCTTGTCTGCGAAGTTAGTGCCAAATTTAGCGGACAGAGGGTGTCGCGTGGTCAACGCAACGAATCACAACGGTCGTTAATTTCGGTTTTCTATACCGGAGCCGCTATTTCCTTGAAACAGCTGCTTAATTATCCTCACGAGGCTGAGTGAAACCCGTTCCAGACCCATTACTTGTCAGAAAATCTGGTAGCGCCGGGAATCGAACCCGAAGCCTCTGGATCTGTAGCAGGTACTCTGACCACTAGACCATAAAGGCGGTCTCTAGTAAAAATAACCCAGCAAAGATATGAGTTCTACCAGCGCTGACTACTTGTGAGCGAAATTATAAGAATGTAATGTTTGTTTAATGTCAAGGTTGATAAAGCGAAATCTAAAATTAATCAAGCTGACATAGGAGCCAGAATAGCTCAGCGAGGATACTGACGGACTGAATGGTCGTGATTCGATTCCCGGCTGCGTCTAAACCGGATACTGGGAACACTCTCCTGTTTATTTGTTAAGGGGGGGGGGGTCTTTCCCCCGGCGTAAAGCGGCAGGGCAGTGAAGCTGACCACTCACTTCCACAGTGTGGTCAAGAATGGTGGAGTTATACCTCCACCCCCCAATTCGTTTTATGGCATGGTGTTTAATTTATTAGGCCGAAGGGAAATTTTACATTTTACATACACATGACACTTCTCTGGAGACCTCAAGAGCAAATTTGGAAGGTATGAAGATTCAAACAGACAATAAGGAATTTAAACTCATTTTAAAGTGATGATAATACTGAAGCAGCAACTTTTATGGTCCAGTCTCCTATTTACATACCTAGAGATTAAAATATACAAAATCATAATTTTATTTTCCTTGCTTGTGAAACTTCTTTTACCCTAAGTGAGCAACACAAATTGGGTGTACCTGAGATAAGTGCATAACAAATTCTAGTTGGAAACTGAAAAGCTCACTTGTGATACCTACACATGGATTAGAAAAAGAAAAAAGAAGAGTGGCAGGACTTGAAGTAAGCTGCCTGCTCCCTTACCTTACTTATACTCCACACCTATCATCTGGGGCTGGTACAATAGGCCAGAAGTGGCCGCAGTACAAGGGACTTAGTCCCACACCACTAGCATTAAAAAAAAATGTCATGTGCATTTGACCGCCTCTGTGGTCCATTGGTCAGAGTTCCTGGCTACAGATCCAGAGGTCCCGGGTTAAATTTCCGGCGTTACCATATTTTCTGAGAAGTAGTGGATCTGGAACGGGGTCCACTCAATCTCCTGAGGACAACTGAGGAGCTACTTGAATGGAAAAGTAGTGGCTCCAGTCTAGAAAACCAAAATTAATGGGCATACGGATTCGTTGCGCTGACCACATGACACCCTCTATCTACTAGATTTGGCAATAACTCCGCCGACAAGCAGCAGTTGCTCTGTCAGTATAGTTCGCTTGTGGACACATCTAATCATATATTAATTGTACAATGAAACTTATAAGGAATATTCCTCCCTTTTACTATCGAGTATCACAAAGATGGCAGAAAGTGAGCTCTTCTTACAGAAATTAAAGTTCTGAATGCAGAATTCAGAACTCTACTATGGGTGTTTGGAGCCGGGATAGCGTAGTTGGTATAGCAGCTGGCTACAGGCCGGAGTGAGGGGGATGGAGTTCCAGTTCAGGTAGGATCAAGAATTTTATCTTCTCCATGTTGCCCATGGGGCCCTCCCAGCCTCCTATCCAATGGGTACCAAGGGCTCTTTCACCAGGGGTAAAGTGGCAGGGGCATGAAGCTGACCACTCCAACTAGTCCCAAGGTCAAGAAAATGTGGATCTATATATTCACTCCGCCATACGCCTTCATGGCGTAGTGCTTAATTAGTTAAGTACAGGAACAACTTTACCTTTTTACTATGGGTACTTCTAAGTCTTTTTCAATTTAAGAATTAATGAGGCATGCAAAGCTGAGTATATACCTATGTCAGTCATCAGACTAAATGACCTGCTAATTACAAATTAGCCATATTATACACAGGAACAACAAAAACTGTTTCACAGAAGAAATGTTCTAAGACACTTGACAGTACAATGTTTTAGGAGCATGATTAAGGAGCATAAAAAGAGAATAAATGTACTGGAATAATTTTTCCATCAGCACACTGTCACATTTTTTTCATATCAAGCTGTGATTACACACCCCTGCCAATCTGAATTAAATATATTACCTGCTTCAGGGCACCTCACATTCTGACCAGGATATACTTCTTGACTGACTTTTGGTTCACTCAGCGATACTTCTTCAACTAAGCTTATAAAACTTTATATGGGAAGATAATTTGTTTAGGGACATGCATCGAAAGTATTATTCTGTCATTTGTTTGGAAAGACAAATGCATAGATCGCTGATTATTTAATGAATCTGTATCAACTGAAATGGTTATTTAGTGTCTGATGGTAGTAACTATGTTCAGTAAGTTTAAAAGGATTGTATAGGACGTGGCACAAGTGTCACTCCCAGTTCACAAGTCCTGCATCAGCCACGTTGCTTTCACTGACTGTAAGAAATTAAAAAGACAAACAATGTGCTGGCTTCCAAAAGCATAATGTTCAAACCAAATTTCATGAAAATCATCCCACAGGTTCAAAGTTCATAGGATGCACAGACATATAGAGAACTGTGTTCTCATATGCCAGTTTTATTTCCTTACGAAAGGAAAGTATGCTAAAAATAATAGAATATCTGTATTTACATCCTCATCAAAAGATGCTTTAAATATGTACTCTTGTTTGCTTTTGTGCTATGATGTAGAAGGTGTAACTCTAGTTAATCCTGTTAGAGGCTACACAGAAGCAGTTTGGTATTATTATGGGGACTACATTTTGGTAACATTATGCAAAACAGTACAGAAAACACAGAAAACACTTGTAGGAATAGCTATATGCAAATTGTTTATAAAATGGTTTTAATGACATGTCTATATGATACCATCTGACTAGAACCTGAAACTTCAACTGACGTTCCCATGCTGGCAACTATGCAGATGAGATTCCATGTAGTCTGATGGATCATTACTGATACTTTGGAGGAAAGTGCTGTCTCAATCTTCAGGTTACCCTGAACATGCAGGCAACATATTCCTCTGAAACAACAGTAACAATCTATCAGAATATATGATGTCACATCTCAGAAAGAACTCATGTTACTTCCTGTTATAATGCAACCTACAGGTCCCAACTATAAAACTGTAAGCACACTACACACATTGTTCTCTTCTTTCGCATATCATTAGTTACAATTATGGTTGTCAAACTGTGGGGGCAAAGTTAATGCTACTGCTTCAGAACTTCTTTTAAAATTGTATTACTGAACAAAGCGAAATATCGTGGTCTTTTGAGCTGCTTCACTCGCCCTAGAGCATATCAAAACTGTAAAGATAACACTGCACTCGAGCTTAAATTCCTCCAAGATGCAATATTGTTAATAACGAGTAATAATAAGCAACACTTTCTTACCTGAGCGAAAGGACTTCGACATTGTGCATACCGCGAATCAGACTGACATCTAAAAGTTCCCTGCCCCTGTAAAATAATTTTTTTAAAATATACGAGTAATTACAACTTTTATTCGTGGTGTGTCAACAAATAACCCAAACCTCCATACAGTCAGGGTGTACGGCATTATTCCCGATTTTCCACTCACCAAAAATTTAGTGTCCTAATACTTGACAGATCGGATGTTTTTGTACGAGCAAGAACCATCTCTTCTGTCAGTCTTGCCATTGTTTTAATCGATTTAACACCCACAAATACAACACACGGTTGACAGTAGCAACCTCCGTCTACTCCGGTGACACGTGTATTTATGGAAACAATACTCTAACAGACAATCTTGACCGACAGTGACAATTTTCTTCTTCCTTCCTGCATTACATTTCAACGACAAACAACCGAATAAATACTTTTCGCTTCGAATTTTTCGAATTTTACACCATAGACGTCAGCACTTGTCAAATGCCATTTTCATCTACTTCTCCCCTCAATCCTGGCCTTAAGGCCACGGCCACACGAGCAACATTTACTGCTCGAAATCCGCGACAAATGAAGCACAAGAAATACGCACCATGGAGTTAAATGAGAAGGGCCACACGGAGCAGTAAATAACGCTCGTTTCTTCGTGGAGGGAGCAATTTCAAGGTCGCGTCGCGGACGGATGGCGCTCGGCCCATGTTCTAGCTGTATTTGTCGGTAGTTCGCCTGGCCACACGAGCTTCATTTGTCGCATGCTTTATTTGGTACTCGAGTCTTGTTTTCGCTTGATAGTGAATCGCTATGGAGTTTTACAAATGGTATCTTCCACGAGGGATAAGAGTATTTTAAATGAGTTGATTGTAATCCTATAATATTCGAGAAACTTGTCGGGATGTTCCATTAACTTGTGATGTAGTAGCACAAACTTCACCCTCGCTGACCTGTCACTCATCACGGGATGGATCCACCACTTTCTCCTCTGCTGTAGCTGTTTTCGGCGTTAATGACAGATTAATAATGAACATAACGCGGATACTGTTTGTCTGTTCAGTAGCCTACTACTCGCCATATTTTGCACACACTGTGACATGATGGCTATTGACGCTCGGTATAGCGGACGGCTCCATGTGGCCACCTAGTCGCGGCATTTGACGCTCCAAAGAGCAGTAATTACGGCTTTAGTGTGGCCACTTCATTTGCGACAGTTGCAGCAGCTTCATTTGTGGCGGATTTCGAGCAGTAAATGTTGCTCGTGTGGCCGTGGCCTAAACCTAGTTCGACAATACGTCAATTACACCGCAATCCATCTGCACTATAAGCTTGGCTAACTTAACCCAGCGTACCGTGCTGACATCTATACATCATCTGCACGTAAACTCAACGGCGACATGTGTGGTGTAACCAGCAGCCTAATCGGTAAAAAAGGTCACTTACTCTTCAACGTTCAAAACACCATGCAACACTTAAATACGTCAAATTAATTGAGAAACAGACTATACTATTAATATTTTGTACATATACTTCTTTTTTAAAATGAATTTAGGTATTTTGTATATGAAGTAACAGACGGCTTGCACATTTCTTTTTTCCACTACCCTTAAGAGCTCTGTAACAGACTTTGGGTATTCTTTTGCTGTTCTCAGACAAAATTTCCGTCATTGTTGCTCTTTGGTAATGGTACAGTTTACAATATCAGATGATATATTCCTTTGTTTGCACTCGTCATCACATTCACATATAACTGTGAACACGATATTAAATCTAATTAAGCTTGCTTTAAGACTGGAATGGCTTGTTCCCATACGGTTTATTGACACGAAGGTACTACGAGTCATTCCTGTAGTACCTTTCAAAGTGGCTTTCTCCTCTGTCGCTCTTGATCGCTCTTGGTTCTGTTGATTTGTGGCTTGTACATTTCTTTCGATTTCTGTTGCGAACAACAGGAGTGCCACTAGCTCTCAGGGATGATGTGAAGGTGACTCCACGTACGTGGTCAACTAGACCTATCACACGCTCCACGCTCAGGCAAGTTCAGGAACTTCAGGCACAGATTCTGCTGCACAGTCACTCCCACAACCTCCTGATCCTTCATTACACGCCTCTTCCTTTGACCTCTTGCCTTCAGGTTTAACTCTTGAACGTGAGCTTAATGTCTTATCACCCACCAGAACCTACAGCAAGACACTTGTGCATTCTGCTGTAGCACCTGTTCCTCTCCATGCAGACAGTCCTTCCATTTCTTTTCAAATGTCTGCAATCCATTCATCACCAACAGCAGGCAACACTTCTTCAGTGAAAGGAGCCTCCTATCTCTTAGGCTCTGAAAATATATATATGCTTCTGATGGGGCACTCAGGCATATCAGTTGTCAAAGTTCCTCCTCAAAGCCCAGAGCAAGGCGTTCTCTGCTGAAAGAACTTAATTTGGCTTCGCTTTCTGAATTGACACCGAGGAAAAGGAAATTATATGAACAAATTCAGAAGAAGGAGAGTGTACTCTGCAAACTGAAAAAGAACTACAAAAGAAAGAAGTTGGAAGATCTCTGTGATGAGGACAGTGATCCACTTAATGGAGAGTTTTCATCTTCTCTCAGTGTAGAGGCTGCCAGATTATTGGCAGCAATTATTAGTAACACCAGGGAGAGACCTCGGGGAAGGAGGTGGGATTTCGAAGAGAAAGTGATGGCTCTGTCTCTCCTTAAGCATAGTCCCAAATCCTATATCCTTCTCCGCACACTACTCCCCCTCCCATCCAGACGATCCTTGCAGTCTGACCTCAATACTGTTCCATTTAGGACAGGCATCAATGCTCATGTGTTTCATGCACTCGAACAGTCTCTGTCTGGTAGAGATCGATATTGTTGTCTCATGTTTGATGAAATGTCAATTAGAGAGAACTTGCATTTCAATCAGAAGTTTGACTGCATTGAGAGTTTTGAGGATTGTGGAAGTCGGGTCAGGGCAACGGAAAGTAATGATCATTGGGGATAGCCATGCCCGTGGCTATGCAGCTAATATGAAATATTGTTTGACAAACAATTATAAGGTCAGTGGTATAGTGAAACCAGGAGCATGTTCAGATACATTAATTGCATCAGCACAGGATGATATAGAACACTTAACCAACAAGGATGCAATTATCTTTTGGGGAGGTACTAATGATGTTGGCAAAAATAATTCACAAGATGGATTAAGACACATAGTAGAATTTGTGAAAGCCAATTGCCATATGAACATTGTGCTGGTGACTGTTCCCCATCTATACAACCTAAGTGATTGGTCGTGTGTGAATAATGAAGTAAAAAGCTTTAACAGAAAATTATTGAAGCTTATGAAGCCCTTCCAGAATGTAAGGGTCACAAAAGTAGATCTCAAAAGGGAGTATTTTACTAGACATGGATTGCACATGAACAAAGTGGGAAAAGAAATAACATCGTTAAAGATAGCTAAGGTTGTTAGTACAATGCTTCATAAACAAACAAGAGAATCAATTAAACTGCACTGGAAAACCGAAGGCGAGGACAGGACAAGTCATACTATAAGTGGAGATGATATAATTCTGCAAGAGGATCCAAAAGTTGCTGCAACAGAATATGGGGAAGGATTATCTCATGCTACCGACCAAGGGGCCCTGCTGGAAGAACTAGGTGGTACAGCGATTGTTACTGATCACAAGGAGGCTGCAGATGTCCAAGGAAATGAAGCAGTGAAGAATTCAGCAGACTCACTCTCTAATTGCGGGGAACGTCAGGAAGTTCGTACGTGAACCAGAACGAGGAAGCCCTCACTAAAGCTAAGTAAAGATTTTTTATAGATAATCATAGCGCTGGTATACTTAAGAATAACAGAAATAATAATGACAATACTAATATTCAAATATTTCATCAAAACGTACAAAGTTTAAAAAACAAAAAACTAAATATCGATGTGTTACTAACTGATAAAACACTAGAGTTGGATGTACTATGCATCACTGAACATTGGTTAGATGAAAAGGAAATAGGTTATTATAATTTTGTAAACTACACCCTGGTTTCAAAATTCTGCAGGAAAAATAAACGACATGGAGGCTCATGCATCTATGTCAAAGAAAATCTAGAAGCAAAACCTTATAATTTGTTTGAACACTATACTCGAAAAGAACATTTTGAGACTAGTATAATCAGACTCACTCAATTCAATACAGTTATTATCTGTGTATACAGAACTCCTAACAGTAACATCAATATATTTATTGAAACTATGGACACAATAATTAATGAGTTACTAAATAAAGGTAAGAAAATTCTTATTGTAGGTGACTTCAATATAGATTTCTTAGGAAATAGGGTAAACCTACAACTACAGACAATGATCAATTCATACGGCTTGCAAGCAATAGTGGATGTTCCAACGAGAATCGGTTCTAGAAGTCAAACGGCCATAGATCAAATAACATTAAACAAGGGCTTATGGGAATACAAATTTGAGGTGATTGAAACAGGATTTTCTGACCATAGCGCGCAGATATTACAAGTATAGATGCAGCAAAAGAATAAGAATAAAAAAGGGCAAGCCAGAGCAGAGGGAGAATATAGAATGGTCAGAACTTATAGCGAAAAAAACGTCCAATATCTAAATTATCCACTAGACAAAGAGACTTGGGAGCTTGTTTTTAAACAAAAATCAGCGAACAATGCATATAATGAATTTTTAGATACTTTTCAGTATTATTATGAAATAGCAATACCAAAAAAATGAGTAAAAAGTAAACAGCATGAAAACAAATGGATTACCTCAGGTATAAGGGTATCAGGAAAGAGACTCTGATTTCTTAATAGGCTAATGAAAGAATGGAATATTTCAGAAGAATTTAAAAAATACTACAGTCAGTACAAGAAAATTTATAACAAAGTGATCAGTGAAGCAAAAAAGTTATCCAATAACATACAAATAAGAACTTCCAGGAACAAATCAAAGGCTATGTGGGACCTAATCAAGGAGGAGCTAGGTAGTCGGAAAAAAATGGAAAAAAAAAAAATATTGAAATAAACACTGATGGAAAAAATACACAGGATCCAAAAATCATAGCTAATGTTTTCAATTAATATTATACTAGCATTGCACAAAAAATCTTAAATGACAAATCATTATCTACAAACAAAGAAGCTAATGACAATGCAGTAAAATATAACAACAACAGCATGTTCTTAACCCCAACTACTGAAGAGGAAGTGGTTGGCATAATTAAAAGACTTGGTAACAAAAAATCAACAGGTATAGATGACATCCCAGAGT